TATTTATTAGTATGGCGGGGCCCTATCCCGACCTTAATGATATTTATGTACTCTTAGAGTCTTGTAGACATATGTCGTGTACGTGAAAGATTATATGACCTTGTCAGCCTATGTTCAGTGTATGAGTGATCATTTTGGTCTTATAGGCCAGTATGTCATATGTATAAGTTTGTATTTCCCTCATGCTTTACTCTGGTTCATTTACCTATGATAGAATAATACGAAAGTATGGTATGTTGGTACTCGGTTGAGTAAGGCACCGGGTGCCCGTCGTGACCCTTTGGGTTGGGTCGTGACAAACTTTATCCTCACATTTCCCTTCTTATCCTTTCTTCCCCCACTCATCTACCACTACTGAAACCACTTCTCGGGATTTCCTATCTCCCAACTCAACCATTAATCATCAGTCACACTCAACTGACCCTCTACATCCACATACTTCTGAGAATAGCACCCCTATTTCTCTCAATAATCCCGGAACTCCTCTATCTGTTACCAGCCCCCAAATTCTCCTTTTCATACTCCATCTCCTATTGATTACTCTAGTTCTCAGCCTACAATTCCAATACCACCACCTCTTCTAAGAAAATCTGAGAGGATTTCCCAGAAACGTACCTATCTTATGACTATGTCTGCAATAGCATTGTTTTCTCTGATCTTACCTCATCCTGTTTTCATCATGTATCTCATCCTAATATGTTTTCTTTTGGAGCCCTTTCTCATAACAATCAGGCTATTTTCAAATCTATCTCCACAGTTTATGAGCCTACCAGCTATACTCAAGCTTCTCAATATCTTGGATGGAGAAAAGCTGTGGAAGCTGAAATTCAAGCTCTTCAACTCAATCAAACCTGGGATGTTGTCTCTTTACCCCCAAGGCAAGAAGGCATTGCCTTGTAAATGGGTTTACGAGGTCAAGCACAAATAAGACGGGTCAATTGAAAGGTTTAAAGCCAGGTTGGTTTCCAGGGGGGATATACAAAGGGAAAGGATTGATTATTCTGAGACCTTTCAGTCCAGTGGTCAAGACGACCACTATTAGATGCCTATTGGTTGTAGCTGTTAAGAAAGGTTGGGAGGTCTCACAACTGGATGTTAACAATGCATTTATGCATAGAGATCTACAAGAACAGGTGTATATGAAATTTCCAGTGGGTCTTACTCCCTCTCATCATAATCAGGTATGTTTATTGAAGAAATCACTCTATGGACTAAAACAGGCCTCAAGGCAATGGTATGCTCGTTTAGCAGGTGCTCTAAGCTACAAAGGTTGTTCTAGTTCCTTGAATGACTATTCCCTATTCTACAAACATACAAACAAGCGGATATCCATCATAGCAGTATATTTTGACGATATTCTTATCATAGGAAATGATGCCACAGAAATACAACATATTACTGAATTTTTGGATTATAAATTCAAAGTCAAGAACTTGGGACATATTCACTATTTCTTGGGGATGAAAATACTCAGAGAACAACAAGGGTACATAGTCAGTCAGAAAATTTACCTTGGAACTACTGGCTGAGTTTGATTGTAAAGGGCCTACTGTCTCATCTCCTCTCGATCCATACTCCAAATTGCACGCGGAATTAGAACCACCCATGGAGGATCCCACTCTTTATCGATGATTGGTGGGTAAACTTAACTATCTCACCAATACTCGGCAAGATATTTGTTTTGCTATTCTTTTCCTCAGTCAATTTATGCGAAGGCCTTCTTTTTCACATTTTTCTGCTGGTCTCAGGGTACTTCGATATCTTAGATCAGACCCAGGTCAAGGTATCCTTCTCTCTTCTGCTCCTTCTTTTGTTCTCATCGCTTTTTGCGACTCTGACTGGGGTACTTGTGAAGATTCTCGTCGCTCCGTTAGTGGGTTTTCTTATTACTCTTGGAGGTGCCCCCATTTAATGGAAATCGAAGAAGCAGATCTCCATCTCTTTGTCTTCCGCTGAATCTGAGTACCGATCCATGAGACGGGTGACTGCTGAAATCACTTGGCTTGTTCGACTTCTTGCTGATTTATCTGCTCCTCCAACTTTTCTGGTTCCTTTGCACTCTGACAGTCAGGCAGCGATTCATATCTCCCGCAATCCCGTCTTCCACGAACGGACTAAGCATGTGGAGTTGGATTGTCATTTCATTAGACAGCAATTTCTTGCTAGTTTGATATCTCTTTCATTTGTTCCTTCGAAGTCCCATATCGCATATTTCTTTACCAAACCCTTATCTGGGGTTTCTCACACCAACATCATGAGCAAGCTGGGGTTTTGTCTCTACCCTCCAACTTTAGGGGGGATGATGAAGAGAATACATCTTCTTCACAGCCATTTTCACACAGACATTCACACAAAAAAGAGAAGGAAGAGAAAAGACATTTCAGACACACACTTAAGTTTCGGACATCTCTATGTTATGTTGCCTAAGTGTTTTAATCAATTGTAGCTCAGCCTTACACGTGTATGAATCATGGATGGTCATGATCTTTTATTCTCAACCATCTGATCAACATTTTAAACACCTGTATATAAGATGATTCAAGAAGCAAATCTCACGTGGTTCTCACATGAGCACATGGGAAAGAATAATTCATAAGTTTTCTGTTATATAGTAGACAAATAGGAATAGTACAAGTGTATAGAAATATTTTTTATTTGTTATTTTACAGTAGGATAAATCTGTATATATAGGATTTACATTTTCAACGAACTAAGCATGTGGAGTTGGATTGTCATTTCATTAGACAGTAATTTCTTGCTAGTTTGATATCTCTTTCATTTGTTCCTTCGAAGTCCCAAATCGCAGATTTCCTTACCAAACCCTTATCTGGGGTTTCTCACACCAACATCATGAGCAAGCTGGAGGTTTTGTCTCTACCCTCCAACTTGAGGGGGGATGATGAAGAGAATGCATCTTCTTCACAGCCATTTTCACACAGACCTTCACATAGAAAAGAGAAGGAAGAGAAAAGACATTTCAGACACACACTTAAGTTTCGGACTTCTTTATGTTATGTTACCCAAGTGTTTTAATCAATTGTAGCTCAGCCTTACACGTGGAAGAATCATGGATGGTCATGATCTTTTTCTCAACCATCTGATCAACATTTTAAACACCTGAATATAAGATGATTCAAGAAGCAAATCTCACGTGCTTCTCACATGAGCACATGGAAAAAATAATTCATAGTTTTTCTGTTACATAGTAGACAAAGAGGAGTAGTACAAGTGTATAGAAATATTCTTTATTTGTTATTTTACAGTAGGATAAATCTATATATATATAGGACTTTACATTTTCAACGGACTAAGCATGTGGAGTTGGATTGTCATTTCATTAGACATCAATTTCTTGCTAGTTTGATATCTCTTTCATTTGTTCCTTCGAAGTCCCAAATCACAGATTTCTTTACCAAACCCTTATCTGGGGTTTCTCACACCAACATCATGAGCAAGCTGGGGGTTTTGTCTCTACCCTCCAGCTTGAGGGGGGATGATGAAGAGAATACATCTTCTTCACAGCCATTTTCACACAGACATTCACATAGAAAAGAGAAGGAAGAGAAAAGATATTTCAGACACATACTTAAGTTTCGGATTTCTCTATGTTATGTTGCCCAACTGTTTTAATCAATTGTAGCTCAGCCTTACACGTGGAAGAATCATGGATGGTCATGATCTTTTATTCTCAACCATCTGATCAACATTTTAAACACCTGTATATAAGATGATTCAAGAAGCAAATCTCACGTGCTTCTCACATTAGCACATGGGAAAGAATAATTCATAGTTTTTCTGTTACATAGTAGACAAATAGGAGTACTACAAGTGTATAGAAATATTCTTTATTTATTATTTTAAAGTAGGATAAATCTGTATATATAAGACTTTAAATTTGTCCTCAACGATCACACAAACACCTCAATTGACCCAATTATCAATTAAACACTCCAAGAGACTGTTAAGTGTATCAAATAAACACTCAAGTACAGCAAACCACATGCGTGAATTACACGTGCCAATAATGTATTAAAATGAACCAATTAAAGGACGACACGTGTAATTTGTCATAATTAAAACTAAAACAATCATCTGACCCCTTTCCTCACTCCCGACGAGTTCTAGTTCGGCAATAATGGAGTCTCACCGGACTGACAAAATAATTGAATTGACAGACAGCTCCTATAATCCAAGTACTACACGAGCGAAAGCTTTCTAATCTCATCAATGCCCATAGACGATTACCAAATTTGTTTGGTGGATATATAGATGCTCATTATTAGAACAACTACATATACATTATAGCCCGTCAATGTCAGAGATTTAAAGCATCAAAGCAGCAGCAAGTCAGCTACAACAGCAGATCCGGCGACGATGACTCTATTCAAGGAAGTAGAATTAGGAGAATTGGTAGGAGAACCGCCGGGAGCGGTGGCGATGAATGGAGGAGAAGCACCGGAAGAAAGAGATGATACCGGAGTATCGACAGTTTGGTGGAGCTGGTGGAGATAGATTGAAGATTTGTCTTTGGTATGCTTTTTTATATGTGGTGGAGGCGGCTAAAGCAGTGGTGGAGGACAGGAGTAGGTGGGCGGAGTTCTTATGGTGATGGTGGAGATGGTAGCGGGTGTTTGAGGTTGAAATGAGACATAATCACAAAATTTGAAGTACCAATTTTTCCTGTATTGGCTTGCTATTTGGGCTGCCATGAAAATTGGAAATTGGAAATTGTTTGAAGGTGAAAATTTTGGAGGAGGAGAACGGTGAAATGAGAGTAAGTGGGGACCACATAAAGTAATTTTTCTTTTATTTTTAAAAAGCTTGATTTTAAGGATTTTACATATATATAATGCATACACTTTGCCATGTCAGCACGAGGGTTCAAGAGGTCTTACTTTGGTCTAAAATAAAGTGGGTAATTGATAATTGGGACAGTTGAGCTGTTTGTGTGATTGGTGAGTACAACATTAAGGGGGGGCGTTTATATATTTCGCCAACATGATTTTCTGGTTTGCTCGAAAATATTTTCCTTTTTCAAGACCATTTATTCAGCTTCGCGACAAGGGTTGACGGCCATTCTCTGGCCTAACCCAGCCACCGCGCGACGCCGCTAGTCTCTACCCTCAAATTGGTGTGGGAAACATGAGCGGGTTAGTGGTCCGTTCACCTATTATGTGTCTTTCGCCCGTGAAGTTGAGCCAAGATTTTCACTACCATTTATACCCTTCCAAGTTCTTTCGCACAAGAACTTATCCCAGGTATCGTTGCTTAAAAAACAACGACACCCAAAATGTTTCCGAGGTACTCAAAAAACTTCAGAACTTTTTTGCCTTACAGAATTTTGTCCATTGTTGAGTTAAACAGAGCTAAAGAAAATTGATACTAGAAGAGAAAGCTTTGTAATTTCGATGGTAAACAGAGAACATCTTATGTACGATGGTTACTGTCTTTGAGTTAATTGGCAAATTGAGATTTCTATGTATAATTTTTTTGGTCATTTTTGAGTCTTGAAGTACAAAAGACAAGGGAAAGCCCAATAAACAATGAAAATGGCTAGGGCAGTTTCTTTACTATCTATTAGTGCATAGGGTGTTACAATTTAAATCTAGTAGCTTAATTAGATGAATTAGAAGTGAAAAGAGGTGGAGTAGAGGCTTATTTAGGATTTTGAGTTTACGAGTTCATCCAATCTATTGAAAATCTGCCTACTTTTTTTTCCATGTGTTTATGTGACTTGAGCTGAAAACAATAGGTTCACTTGAACCCATTGTCTCGCTTTAGAACTGTAGGCGGCAGAAGTATATAGAGTAAGATGAGTAGTTTGGAGCTCTGCAGCTGCATAGTTGCTGAGAAACTTGTGATTTGTTTTAAGACCATCTACCCTTAATGAAGTGTGATGAAACTTCAGAATAACTTGAGCATTTTGACATGTTATTATTAAGTCATTAGTGAGGAAAGGGATGGACCAGACTCTAACTACCTGGGGTTCCTAACTTCCTATGGAGGATTTGTACCGAACACTTCAGCCTAAAGAGAATGAGCACCAACGAAATGAGAGGATAAGGTGCCTCGGGTACTCGCATTTAATTTTTCTTAGAGCCGCCTTATTTCATAATACAAAGATTTAGGATTTTTTCTGTTGCTAAACAGGAACAAACATAGAAGGCTATAATAGAACCACAAAAGAAGTGTGGACAGACTATGGACCAAATTGCTGCAATTTGTTGTCCAAAAATAGGTAACTTGAAATAAAAGACTGTCTTTGGAACAGGAAGCAGAAAGCTAATTTGCATAACAGATGACATGGAGTTATCATTGATTCATCGTGGCAAATTGTTTGATGCTCACAATTTTGGAAAGATCAAAACTCCAAAACGACAGTAAACCCCAATCAGGACCTAAGTGTTAAAGCCATAAGATAAATTATGTTTGAACTGAATATAATCTCGAGGGGGATGGGCTAGTGGTTGAGGCGTGGGAGTAAAGAGGTCTCAGGTTCTAATCCATCCGTTCATCTTTTGTGGGTCGGATTACCCTGGCAACCTATGTTGGCGGACTTGATAGGCTACCAGGTGGTTAGTCGAGACATGTGCAAGCTATTCCGTACGCCATAGAGAGAGAGAGAGAGGTAACCTGCAAGAATAGGGAAGAAAGTGAATAATGGAGTGTGTTAAGCTGATCAATTGGGTTCTCAGTACTCCATGATGTGGGCATTTGACATTTTGAGCTTTTGAGTTAGTCAGCGCATTTCATGTAAATTTAGGTTCTACCGGGTAACTAATAAATTGAGTCAAGTTGGAAAAGGATTCTCCAATATGTGGGTTAACATGACTGAAAACCCAATCAAACATTCTTGAAAAACAATTAACTTGTATATAGGGGGTTCATGGTTCGGTTTGGGTCGGTTTTTCCCTAAAAAGAAACCAAACCAAGTAAGTCGGTTTTTCAAATATTGGAACCAAACCAAACCAATTAAGTCGGTTTTTTATCGATTCGGTTTTTGTTGGGTTTTATCAGGTTTTCGGTTTTTTCGATTATTTATCGTTTTTTTTCTTAAGTATGAGACATACACTACCAAACACTTATTTCGGCGACTACATTTTCAACATAACACTATCAAATCAATTGCTCTTTGAGAAATCTATCATTTATCAAGATATAATGATGATTATTGAATCAAATAATGATGAATAATTTAACTACTCAATTAAAAAAGCGATTATTTTTAACACGATATAAATTCTTGTACTTAGAAAAAAGAAAACTACCAATCAAATTAGAATGTAAAGATAAAAAATTATATTATTAAATAGCGAAGAACTAGACTAAAAATATAAATGACTAATATGTACCATAAAATTTTAGAAACTTTATATAAAAATATACATATATATAGGTGTAATGATAAATTTAAATAGCTACCTAATAGTCGGTTTGGTTCGGTTTTTTTGGGTTATTTTTTTAGTAAAACCAAACCAAATTTGATCGGTTTATAAAATTCAAAACCAAAACCAAACCAAACCTAAGAAGTATCGGGTTTTTTGGTCAGTTTGGTTTGGTTTTCGGTTTGGTTCGGTTTTTCGGGTTTTTATGAACACCCCTACTTGTATATTTAAGTTCGAAAAAATAGCTGTGATTAATGAACATGATAATGGATAGTCCTGAAATGGTTAGTGATAAATCAAAGCTTGCACTCAGTTTTCTATTCCAAAATCTGTACAAAACTGTCATTCATATATGTTTTCAACTTAACAGGGCTTCTCGGTCCTTAAATCAGATAATCCTTGTGATGGGGGGAGTTTGTGGAGCAGTATGGCTTTCTACCTTTTCACTGTGCACGTTCCTTTGAGTTTTGGCGGCTTGTCTGCTGTTAACAGTATATTGCATTGTTCAGCTCTTGATCCACAGACCGAGGTGAGTAAGATTTATCTGTAACATTATAGAATATTCGGTTCTAGTTCTGTGGGCTGGTTTGATGAATTTTGATTAAGTTCAAGGGAAATAAGCATAAATTCTCGTGTTTTCTTTTGCTTCTTGTGAGTAGCTCAAAGTAAAAAGATCAGGCATCTTTCAGTTCCTTGTTGTGCACAGAAATTTTTACGTTAGATATAAATCCGATCGGATCAAATTTGGGGAACTCAAAGTGAAGTATATCAAACTTGGGTAGCATTTCAAAACGTCGACTTTTCTGAACTAGCAAATAGTCCATTAACTTGTAATTTTAATCAATTTGATGGTATATTTACTTGGTTTTTGGCTTAGCTCACACGTTATAAACATACCTTGCCTTTCCAACACAGGCATTGTCCTTAGTTGTACTTCAGATGTTAGAGCTTATTGGCGTTCTGCTTCTTTTAAGATGTCCTGGGAAGCCCCAATACAAGCTTCGCGATTTCTTTCAAGAGAAGCAATCAGCAAAAGAAAGGAACTGGTTATTTGCGTCAGCTCTTGGCTTTGGATTCCTGGTTCTGTTGGTTTTCACCACATCAATTATTGCTGACTGGTTGATAGGGACCAAGGTAATCTGTTTCCATTTCCTTTTTCAGATGCAATATCAAATTGAAAGTTGAAATGTTTCGTGCATTAACTCACCTTGAAATAAAAGATGGAGAAGAAAAGAAAGAGGACAAAAATCGTGATTCATCATTCCGCGTCACTTTATCATGATAATTAGATCATACGGAAAATTCAGAATACTCTCTTGCAAGTAACCTGTGTAATTAAACAACCTCATATTCTTACTGTGGTTTTGAAAGTTTTAACCCAGAGTTTGGCAGGTAGTGCAAATCTTTAAGACTGAAGTTACTTTCCTTAGTGATAAACGTCTCTGCATGCTTCTTACTCTTTATGAGACCCAACTTGTGTCGTGCTCTTTGAATACACTTGCTACTTTGGCTTTAGTTGCCTTACTTTTAGACTACTGAATTGTATTTGACATGTCGGCATGTTTAGACAGTAAAATTGGGGGGAAGGATTTCCCTGCACTTGATTCTTGTGGGCTCTACACGGGAATTTATTCAAGCTTTAGTTGAATGACTGTTGAGGAAGCTAAAGCATATGTTTTGAAATAGAGGTATGCAAAACTAAAGCACCAGAAAAGTTAGTTGAAGTTGAGAAACGGACATGCCTAAAAAATATACATGTATTTGAATGAGTTTCTTGCCTCTTATATTGGTTTAGTTGGAACTAGAACGGTTTTCATCTTTCCTTGAGGCTAGAGTCTATCGGAAACAGCCTTTCTAACTTCTCAAGGTAAGGGTAAGGTCTGCCTACACGTTACCCTCCCCAGACCCCACTTGTGGGATTACACTGTGTTTGTTGTTGTTCTAGTTAGAACTAGAACGGAAGATAAAGTCAAGGTGCATGCACAGATGCATTTTCTTGTCTATATTCTTAATGCTATCTCACTTTTGACTTCTTGTTCTTTGCTGTATGATGTAATAAATCTAGAATATCGGTGGTGTGATTAAGTGACCATTGTTTGATGAACTTTGCAGGAAGTCAACAATCCAATCTTGAAGGAAATTCTTTCGAGTGGTCCAGTATCGATAACATCATGCATCCTGGTTTACTGTGTCATCACCCCTTTGCTAGAAGAAATTGTCTACAGAGGGTTCTTCTTGACTGCTCTTTCCTCTACAATGAAATGGCAGCAAGCAGTCATTGTTAGCTCAGTTATTTTTAGTGCAGCTCACTTTTCTGCTGAAAATTTCATACAGTTGTTCATCATAGGTTTAATTCTTGGATGTTGTTACTGCTGGAGTGGAGACTTAAGGTCTTCTATTATAATTCATTCATTGTACAATGCATTAACCTTACTAATAACATATGCATCATGAGTAGTTGGTTTTTGAGAGCAAAGATAAATCTTTCTTTACAATGTTCTTACTAATAAAAAGGGTAGCCCGGTGCAATAAGCATCTTCTATTCACGCAGGGTCCGGGGAAGGGTTGCACCCCTACGGTGATGTAGACATCCTACCCTAATGTAAGCATTAGTGGCTGCTTTCACAACTCGAACTGGTGACCTATAGGTTACACGGAGACAACTTTATTATTGCTACAAGCTCCCCTTCAATGTGCTTACTAATAACATTGTAAGAACGCTAGTAATATCTCTTTCGCTTCTTCTTTACAAAGAACTGAATGCCTTGATTTGAGAATTCGTATTCAGGAAGCAAATGCATTTAGCTTATTAGATTTTGATAAACTATTTTGGCCTACATTGCTTGAGTTTTTCAATAAATATGTCGCTTCAAATACAGAAAATGTGGCATTTTGAAGGATCCAGACATCATAGCAATTGAATACGACAAATGGAGAGCTTCTATGTGACTAACTTGTGAAGAGGATAACGTTAAAGGAAAGCATATATTTCGAGCCGTGGAAGGAGTTACTAATACTCCCTCTGGTTCACAATAAGTGTCCAATTTGCTTTTAGTATTTCTATTAAAAAAATATTAAATTCTATACAAAAATACCTACTATGACTAAACTACCCCTAATTAAACATTTAATGCGAGGAGTAAGAAAACTTTTTAGGGATATGTACATAAGGGTTATTTTGTAAAAACAAATTGAATTCTTTCTTGATTACATAACTGGACACTTATTTTGAACTAAAATGAAAAAGCAAATTGGACACTTATTGTGAACCGGAGGGAATACTTGAATTAGAGTAAATTGTACGCATTACGTCTCTTGGCGTGCGCTCTTTTTCGGAACCCTGCATGAATACGGAATGCCGCTGCTCTTTTTTAGTTGTTATTCAGTATTTGGCAGGTGGGATTTGATTAGAAAAGAATCATTGCTCTTTGGAAGTCTTTTACTCCATCCGGTTCACAATAAGTGATCAGTTTCTTTTTAGCACGCCCATTAAGAAATCCTATATAAAAATACCTAGTATGACTAAAACTACCCTTATTAAATATTGGTCACATATTTATAGTAAGGAGTGAGAAAACTTTTTAGGGATATGCACATAAGGGTAAAAGAATAAAAACAAATTGAACTTTTTCTTGATTACATAATTGGACACTTATTTTGAACTAAAATAAAAAAATAAACTGGTCACTTATTGTGAACCGGAGGGAGTAAGGAATTTGTCTACTGGGGTCACTATAAATACATGAAAAGTGGCAATTGAATATAGTAGAAGCAAAAGGGACCAGGAGTTGGGAAAGTGAAAAATGGTATGATTGGGTTCCCAGCCGTTGGCTCTAGAAATCATTTCTTTTTAGGGAAAAAAGAGCCAACTTAAAAGAATTATTTGCAAGCTGTATAGAAATGGACAGACAAGCATGTTCAGCCGATTCAAACTGCACAGATGTAAACGACATGTCTTGCTGGTTTATGCTGGCAAACAATTAAGTGATTTTATTAGAGAAAAACATGTACTATAATTACTCATAATTAACGGATATAAGTTTATTTATTTACGCCTATGATTTAGTATAAACAACATGGTCCAAAGTAGGGTTGTGTATAACTTCGTAAATATCGAATTATCGTACCGAAATTGAAAATTTTGGTAGTTGTTATTCAATATTTTGATATTTGGTTTAAGTTCTTTTAAAAATTTGGTATTAGGTATGGTATTCGATATTTTAAAATAAAATATCTAAATATCGATACCGTACCGAAATATATACTAAATTACACAATACACATATTACTGATTATAAAATAAAAACATAATTAGGCAGTATTCAAGAAAAAATTTCAGAATCCTAGCATGAATTAGTAATTAACAAACTAGCACCTAATTAATTACAGTCCTGACCAAAACATATAATGCTGGAACGAAAATCAAGTTTCCACATGTGTGAACAGATTCTAATAAAACAAAGGACCGAAAATCAGTCCTATTAATTACCGAAATTAGTCCTATTAATACTCATCTCTACCAAAACGTTTAATCAGATTATACAACCCATTTAATTACCTTCAACACACATCTCTATTCTAAAATCAATGTCACAACCAAAAAGCATATATGTACGAATATTCCAAAGGAAAGTAGCACTTATTTTATATTTTTTAGTTGTTATTTTCGTATATAGTGATAAAAATATAATTGGATTAATGAAATATTATAAGTATTTCATGGATATGTAAACTTAAAGTTATTTCCATAGTAAATGTGTTTGTTTCAATATCCCAATAGTATATTTATACACTTATATGTTATTGTTTGTACATAATGTACATCAAATATAAATTAAAAATATATCACATATATATACAGAGTATATGTTTCAAATGTCAAATATACTTAAACTATATATTGATCACATCAAGTATTTATAATTATACATTAAATATACATAATACATATATTAAATATATATATATATATATATTTGTTTATACGTTATGCATACAAAATTATACGTTGCATAGACATACAACGAGTTCAGTATAGGAAAATATACATAATATATTCATTACATATGTATATATTTACAATTACATTGTAAAAAATATATCATATATGTATATATACACCTCCAAACATGGAATAAAAATGTGAATTTACTTATTTGGCCATAAGTTTTGCCAAAATAAATTTGGAATTTATTTTCAAAACTCATGTTTGGCCATAAAATTTTGCCCATATTTTGGCCAAATGCCAAATCCCAAATCCCAAATCCCAAATTCCAAAATCAGCTATTGAGCTGATTTTGGGCCAAAATTCCAAAACTAGGGAATTATATACATGTTTTTCCAAAATAAAGTTGGAAAATATATTTTGAAAACGTATGTCCAAACACATTTTCATCTTCAAACCAAACTTCACCCAAATAAGATTTTTCAAAATAAATTTGGGATCTATGGCCAAACACTAGCTTAGACTTTGTTTGATATAATAATGAAAAAGGGGGTCCTAAGATGTGATGACTCAAAAGGGTCATCACTTGCTTTAAATTAAAATCTGTGTTTCTGAGGCCTTGAAAACCTTGTTTAGAGTCACCTCAATTTGCGTGCGTAGTCCGGGCGCGTAGCCGGAAAGATTAAATATGAAAATCTGTGAAAAATGATAAAATTTGGCTATAAAATGAGTTAATTTGACTTCGGTCAACGTTTTGGGTAAACGGACATGGACTCGTCATTTGACGGTCCCGGAGGGTCCGTAGGAAAATATGGGACTTGGGCGTATGCCCGGAATCGAATTTTGAGGTCCCGAGCCCGAGAAATGAATTTTTAAAGGAAATTGTGTTTCTGAAATTGTTTAAGAAAATTTGAAATGAAATTTGATTAGAACATGATGGTATCGGGCCCGTATTTTGGTTCCGGCGCCCGGTACAGGTCTTGTATATGATTTAAGATGTTTCTGTGAAATTTGATGAAAAACGGATATCATTTGACGTGATTCGGACCTTAAATGCAAATTTGATGTTTAAAGAAGTTTTGAGAAATTTCATTGGTCTTGAGGTTTAATTCGATGTTCATGATGTTATTTTGGTGATTTGAGTATACGAATAAGTCCGTAGGATATTTTTGAGGTTGTGTGTATATTTGGTTTGGAGCCTCGAGGGCTCGGGTGAGTTTTGGATAGGCCACGGGGTGAAATTTTGGACTTAAGGAATTGCAGGCCTGCAGACTTCGCATTTCCCAAACTTTCTTCGCAATTACCAAGTTCGCATTTCCCAAACATTTTTCGCAATTACCAGGCTCGTTCGCATTTCCCAAACTTTCTTCGCAATTCCCAGGTTCGCATTTCCCAAATATTTTTCGCAATTCCCAGGCTTGTTCGCATTTCCCAAACTTTTTTCGCAATTTTCGGGTTCGCATTTTCCAAACTTTTTTCGGAATTCCCACATCTGAGACCTGCAATTTTGTACTTAGCCGGTTTTAAGTTATTTTTCACATCTTTTTCAAAACACAACTCCTTTGGGCGATTTTTCAAGAACAAGTCTTCTTCCAAATCTATTGTAAGTTAGTTTTTACTCATTTCTTTCAATCATTAACATCTTTTAACATGATTTCAACCTAAAATCAAAGATTTTCATGGGGGAAATTGGGTGTTTTGGGTAGAACCTAGGTTTTCAAAAATTGGGGATTTGGACCTCGATTTGAGGTCTGATTTCAAAATAAATTATATATTTGAGTTCATGTGGGAATGGGTAATCGGGTTTTGGTTCGAACCTCGGGTTTTGACCACGTGGGCCCGAGGGCGATTTTAACTTTTTGGGTAAAACTTTGAAAAACTCATTTTCATGCATTGGGGTTGATTCATTTAGCGTTTATTGATGTAATTAAGTAATTTGTAATTAGATACGAGCGAATTGGCGGTGGAATCAAGGGGCAAAGCTATAATTGAGACTTGAGTTGTGTTCAAGGCATCGAGGTAAGTGTTTGGTCTAACCTTAGCTTGAGGGAATAGGAGTTGAGTCCTATTTGCTATGTAGTAATTATTGAGTACGACGTATAGGCATGGTGACGGGTATCTATACGTTGGTGTCTAGCATGCCCGTGGGTCTTATATTATGATTTTCATGACTTCGTTATATCTTTCATGTCTTGGTGATGGACTCTATATGTTATGTAAAGTTGTGGAAGGAATTGTGACCTATGAACATTTAAGGAGTGTTGGCTCAAGTTGTGTAACGAATTGTGAAAGTGTAAGTGATAATTGAATCTCTAGAGCATTGGCTCGAGTTATGAAGTGAATTGTGAAGTAAAAAGTGAGAAAGAAAAGAAGTTATTATGTTGATACCCTTGCCGGGCTATGTTGATTTATTGGTTATCTCCCTTGCCGGGATGTTGATATTACTGATGTTATTCCCTTGCCGGGATTTATTTGTTGAATTGTTGCTCCCTTACCGGGATCTTTATTATAATTTTATTTATTC